GTTGCGACAACGAGGTCAACCCACTTCTATAAATCGAAAGGAGACTGCGACCATACCAGAGGCCACAAAAAATTTTTGCTTTGGTGTTTTGATAAGAATAGACATGAATATGCAGTTATATGAAGATATAAATGCGTATGGATGAAAATGTATAGCTAGATGTATGATGTTTCTGATAGTCACTTTTCGAGTTAATCCAAGTGCTCAACAGACTCAGGCATAGTCAGAGTTGGATTACCAATGTACAAAGCTTCAGGTCAAAAATCTCGGACGCAAAGACTAATTGGCCCTATCTTGCATGCTAAATATGTGAAAATATATAAATGTATAATAAGTCTTTTACGACTGTACGACAGTTGAATTGGGGAAAGAAAATTTTTGTTTTAGTGTATTGATAAGAATAGACATGAATATGTAGTTATATGAAGATATAAATGCATATGGATGAAAATGTATAGATAGATGTATGATGTTTCTGATGGTGACTTTTCGAGTTAATCCAGAGATGCCAGAGATGCCTTCACGTCAGGGCAGGACGATCACTCTTTAATGCATGATTAACTCGGCATGACTGCAAATAAGTAGGTCCTGAGGCCTACTTAAAAGGGAACTAATCTTCTCTTTGTCTGTGCCGTCGACCAGGAGCTGCTCGCCTCGTTCGCTCTCCGCCTGGCCGCGCCCGGGCCCAGTTCGGCAGAAGCCCTGACTCTCCTGTCGGCGTTTCGTGCGCCCTCCACCTCGCCGAGCTCCTCGGCCGTGACGACCGCCTCAGCCGTCCCGACGACTGACCTCCCGCCCGGCTTTGAGCCTGCCGCCGTCGCCGCGCCCGAGGGCGTCTTCTCGGTGGCCGCACCGTCCGGGGCCGGCTCATCTCTGACGGCCGCAGTCGCCTCCTCCGCCGACTGCCCCCCCTCGGCTCTGCTCGCCTGCCCCCACCTCACGGCGTCCTCTTTGCGTCTGGCCGGCCCGGCAACCGTCGCCGCGGCCACGAACAAGACGACCGGCCTCGCTCTGCCGCTGTCACTGCCGTTGTCGTTGCCACTGCCGCTGTCGCTGCCACTGCCGCTGCCGTTGCCCCTCACCGGCCCCGGCCGGACGGTGTCGGGACAGAGCGCGTCGACCGAGTCGACCGTCGACGCGGCCGACTCGGCTCCCACGAATCTGGCCAATGGGCTGCCGTTCGGCGCCACCCACGAGCCGCTGTCCGCGCCGCCCGAGGCCTCGGGCATGTCGGCCGACGGGCCAGCCGAGCTCGGATTGGCTGGGCCACGAGCCGGCCTCTCGGCGCTCGACCTGCTCGCCGGACATGCGCTGCCCGCCGGCCGCGGCCTCGCGGCTCTCTACTCTCTCCTCCTCTCCTCCACAGCCGACAGCCTCGGCGTCTCGCTCTCCGGTCTTCTGCCCGGCCTGCCCGGCCTGCACGACCTGCTCGCCGCCCACCACCTCCAGCCGCACCAACACCCCATCACGCGCCAGCCGCACAGCCACCTCGCACACCAGCTCATGTCCGGCCAGCAGAACGGCCCCGAGCCCGCCTCCTCCTCCACCCCGCCAACCGGCCCTCGGCTCGCCACCTCGACCGGACTCGACGCCGATGCCTGCGAGCCCGCCGAGCTCGGCCTCTCGGCCGCTCGCCACCAATTGTCTCCGCCCAACCGGCTGTCCGTGCCTCCGGGCGGGCCGAGCGGACCAATCGGAGAACGCGACCACCTTGGCCAGCACCCTTTGCTCGCTTCGCCGCAGCCGGCCCCTCTTCCCGGCCAGCTGGGACCGCAGCTGCTTCCTTCCGGTACATCGCCAGCCCTCCTCCTCCGAGCGCCCTCTCCCGCCGCCCAGTC